CCGCTGCAGAGCAGAATGATGGCGATGGATGGGACGCCATTGGGGATGATACATCCAAGGGAAAGAAAGGTAAAAAGAACAAGAAGGACAAGAAAAAGAAGAAGGGAGGTGCTGCAGAGGAGGCCGCGCCCAACCTGACTCCTCCATCCACGCCACCTCCCCAGAACTCGAAGCCGGAAGAGGAAGCCGCCAATCCTGCTTCTGAAGCCAACGCAGTGTCTGAGGATGCCACCCCAGCTCCTGAGACCGTAGAGGCACTTCCTGCTGCGGAGCCAGCTGAAACTGCGGTAGCGACATCATCGCCTACCGAAAGCTGGGAGCACACTGCGCCTACGCTTCCAGAAGAGGGGGCAGACGTTCCTGGCAAACAGGACAACAACGAACAGAAGGAAGAGACACAGCAGAAGGAGAGTGAAGAGTCCAAAGAGCACCCGGGGGCCACGACCAGACGACAGACGGGTCCGATGATCGACACCTCTTTCGCCAGGCAGCAGTACTCCCGGATGAATGAGAAAGGAACCAGTCTCTGGGATGAGTTCTCAGCCATCGACTACGTCGACCCCCGCTCTTGCTCCGTGACGAGGCCTCCAAGTGTCATGTCTGCCCGGTCCCCGTTTGAGCTGCCATACCTGGTCTTCCATGCCAAGCTGTACGTCTTTGCAACCCGATACCTGATCCCTGCGCTGGCCCAGCTCTGTCTTCGCAAGCTCCATCGCGACCTGCTGTACCTGGGATTCGCGGAATCGAGCATCGAGAATGAGGACGAGGAGCAGCACAGCCTCAACACCACCAAGGCCAGAAAGGTCCTTGATCTCCTGCATTACACGTACACCAAGACTACTCGCCTGGAGCCGATCACCCCCACGTCCGCTACACAGCTGCGGGACAACGAGCTACGGAAGCTGGTCGTGCACTTTGCTGCCTGCAAGGTGCGCGATTTGGCGGCCTACTCTCCGCCAGTAGATCCGTCGAGCAAGCCATTGAAGCCTTCAGCGCGGGGCTTCCGTGCCTTGCTGGACACCACCACCGAGCTTGCTTCGGACCTGGTGTATCGGATGATGATGTGAATGTCCTTTCCATTGCGTCTGATCTCTCCACTCGTTTCCCCTTTTCTTTTCCTCGATACGATTCTTTCAAGAAAACTCCAATCCATCCTCCCTACATGTATATCCAGATACGCACGACCCACAGAAGAAACAACGCACGACAGATGGCATGAGATGCATGACCTGGCGTAAGGGATGAATGATAAGTGTATGGAGTCTGTTTCAAAATTTGTGCGCTCATCGTTCCCACTGCCAACAACGAATTTCCTTTTGTGTATATGATGTTGAATGATTATTTGCTATGATTTACCCTGGTTCCATCGTGGATGCGTAATAACAAATGCATCTTGAGTTTGCGTCGCAATGAGGTATCCTGATAGCGTATTTTATTGTCTTGGGACAGGTTGCATGTGCATGTTTAGCGTTTCTGCATGATGATCCAAGCCGCGCGAAGCGAGTTCCAGATTCTTCGTCTGCCTAAGATTTGACCTGTGTCTTGCAGAGGACAGCGTTCGTCTTACTTTCCCTATTATAAAATGGATTAGGTTTTTCTAATTCAAGCCGTGTCACTGCAGGCCATAGTCCATCTGCAGGGGTCCAGAAGCCGACCGGGTTGCCGTGAAGAGCTGGGCGTTGGACACCATCTGCAGCCGATGTCGTCGCCTTGACGGAATCCTAGTAGATAGCGGCCATCCAACTCGCGCTCCATCTCTCGTCACTCCAGGGGGTAAATGAGGAAGTGCATCGCCACTGGCTTGGCATATTGTAGGCAATCACATTTCCCAGGGACCTCCGGAGGACCAGGAAGTAGGCGAGGAGATAAGGGCGTCAGTCACAGTATGGAATCACGACTCGAGGATTAGGCGACAAGAAGGGGATCGCCAGCGGACAAGAACGCCGAGATAGTCTCATCAACGATCTATCGAGTCTCAGGTATCTTGATAGATGGCTGAGCCATGCTTGGCGGCGATCCGGCCAAGAGCATCCAAGAGACGGAAGGGAGGATCGGGATTGAGTTTGGGAAGGAGGAAGAAGAAGATCAGTTCTATCTCTAACCGTCTAATCTATCTGGACTATCTGGACTGTCTGGATTATCTGGTCCATCTTGTAAACGTTCCGGAGGAAAGTCGTGCCAAGGATGCCCAGCCAGGATTTCCTCTGAGGCTTTTCCGTCTTCCTCCGCCGCCCAAATTTCACTCTCCCACAAACTTCATTTCCTCTCCTTCCCAATTGTCTGTCTGTCCCCCCCATCGCGAATGGCTCAGTTATTGCTCTCACCGGTGATCTCAGTTTATGCGTATATGGGCCGGTTTTTTACATTGTTGCCATCCATGGGTCACCCGCATGGATCAGGGCCCACTTCCGATCCTCCCCCCTCTCCATCGCATTCTTTGGGTTGCGGTCGTCTTTAGTTCTTCCCAAGAATCACATCCGCAGTCTTAATAGTATTGGCAAAACCTTCCTGCTCGCTTCCCTCTCCCATATTCTGGGCATTTTATAGCCACCTCTACTTGGCAGCGGAGATGCCATGGTGCGTTGTCGATCCCCCTCTTGGCCATCGCTCGTCTGGGGAGCGAAACAGGTTGGAGAAATCAGCGCACGTTGAAGATTCCTGGATGCGCACTACAACTTGTTTGCCCGCTTGATTGGCCCGGATGGCGTCCATCGAGTTCCACTTTCCCAGCTCCAACCTTGTCTTTGGGACTGTCTCCCGACTGAGTAAGTGTACTATCTCTGGTTCTCCTGCTACTGCTCCTGCTCCTGCTACTGCTGCTGTTTCTCGTCTCGTACCTCCCTGGCTCTGTCTCCCGTGCCTAATCCTCGGTCCGAACAGGGCTTAGCATCGACTGCCTCCCGTTTGGCCACTCCTTTTGCCGCTCCGTCGCGGCCCATGTCGTAACTCTCACAATGGGCCGAAAAGGTTTCGGGATGGATCCAGGGGCAAAAAATCAAAACCTCAAAAATTCAGTTTTTTTTTCCCCGATAGCAACCTCATCAAACTCAGAATCACCACCAGCAGTTCAAAATTGAGACGAAGTTATACAGGTCTCTTGGCCGATTCAGACCTGTGGTCCCTGATGTGGCAGCGATTCTGCGGTGACAAATGCTGGCAATGGTCACGTCCGCGCGCTCGGGGAATTTCCGGACCCCAACCCTTCAAAACGGGTAAAATTCTGTGATAATAATAACACAGTGCGTGGCGCATACCATCAATTCTTCTACTCAGAACTGGCTTGCCTGCCAGTTGACGTTGTCTATGCATACCGACCCACTGATGCAGAACCATAACCTCGCATGGCTTGGCGGAAGAGAGTCTCTGGAAGGTTGAGGATCATGAACCATCAGCTCCCCTAGCCATCAGGTTCAACCTTCGCCTCCTATGATGCTTCGACTGAGTGCCCGTGGATCCCTGTCCGCCTTGGCAATATGATGGCCCCCCCTTTGTTATGCTTCCTAATCCTCCTGACCTAAGAGGGATATTACATACGCCTAGATATTGGGCCCCGCGATGCTGATTATCTGAAGTCTAGACTGTGATGTTCTTCGCCTGGTGAGCCAACCAATATTGCCATGCCCCTGCAGGTCGGCTGTTATGCTCTTGGCCATGCTGCGTTGACACTTGAAGGTCGATCTTTCTGGCAGCCCAAGAAGCACTGCCTTACTGTAGCCCCAAAGCATAGGGGTTGATGCGTAGTTTTATATGACCTGTGGAATGTCCTGTTGGAGGTGCAATGCATCGCTGGTAGTCGAGCTCGTGAAACAATTGGTTCTTCCAGAAGCCATTGCATTACCTGAGCAAACACTCTGTCTTACCAGAAATTTTTTTTCCATATCCACTCCACAATTATCAATTCAGTTCTCCGTATCCCAAAACGTTTTTCCGTGCTGTTTCGCTGTGGGCCCCCGGTGTACAATAGTAGTACGGGTCCGCTCAGCTTGCTAAGGCCTGGTCACCCCTCCCTGGTTAAAAGGCTGGCTCATTCCTTTCGAGGCACTTGAACCAGACATTATCTACTTCTTGATATCCTCCTACGGTTCACGAGCAGGGAAGCCGGTGGCTGTTGCTCCCCATCGGTTACATTGCTTCACACCTCTTCTCTCTATCTCTATCTTTTATTCCTTCACCTCATATCTTATACATCACCGTATAGACCATAGTCGATCAGCACTATGAACGTTGAAACGAGCCTCCCTGGCTCGTCTGGTTCGGATCTGGAAACCTTCCACCATGAGACCAAGAAACATGCCAACCATGATTCCGGAATATCTGTCAATCACGAAGCCGAAATAGGCGTCAACCATACATTCGAGAAGCCAGGTCCAGTGGGGATCCGCGAACGTTTACGCCATTTTACCTGGGCCTGGTACACCTTGACCATGAGCTGCGGCGGGTTGGCCCTCCTTATTGTCAACCAGCCTCATGACTTCAAGGGCTTGAAGGACATTGCCCGGGTAGTCTACTGTCTCAACCTTGCATTCTTCGTCATCGTCACTTCTCTCATGGCCATCAGATTCATCCTGCATAAGAATATGTGGGAGTCTCTCGGTCATGACCGTGAAGGTCTCTTCTTCCCGACCTTCTGGCTTTCCATTGCAACCATGATCACTGGATTGTACAAGTGCTTCGGTGATGACGCGAACGAGAAATTTACCAAGTGTCTCCAAGTCCTCTTCTGGATCTACTGTGGCTGTACCATGATCACCGCCGTCGGTCAGTACTCTTTTGTCTTTGCCACCCATAAATACGAGTTGCACACCATGATGCCTTCGTGGATTTTGCCTGCCTTCCCTGTCATGCTTAGTGGTACCATCGCGTCTGTTATCGGAAGCGGCCAGCCAGCCAGTGACGGTATCCCTATCATCATAGCTGGCATTACCTTCCAGGGACTTGGTTTCTCGATCAGTTTCATGATGTACGCCCACTACATCGGACGACTGATGGAGGTCGGCTTGCCTTCCCCCGAACACAGGCCTGGCATGTTCATCTGTGTTGGCCCACCTGCCTTTACTGCCCTCGCTTTGGTTGGTATGGCTAAGGCGTTGCCTGATGATTTCCAGATCGTCGGTGATCCCCATGCTGTTATTGACGGACGCGTCATGCTGTTCCTCGCTGTCAGTGCGGCCATCTTCCTTTGGGCCCTGAGTTTCTGGTTTTTCTGCATTGCGGTTGTTGCTGTCGTCCGATCCCCGCCGAAGGGTTTCCACCTCAACTGGTTCGCTATGGTCTTCCCCAACACGGGTTTCACCCTTGCCACCATCACCCTGGCCAACATGTTTGAGAGCCCAGGCGTCAAGGGCGTGGCCACCGCCATGTCTCTCTGTGTCATCATCATGTTTATCTTTGTCTTGGTTAGCGCCATCCGGGCCGTTATCCGCAAGGACATCATGTGGCCGGGTCAAGATGAGGATGTGTCTGAATGATCTCTCACACCGCCGTGTTTCCTTTTTTTCTATTTCTCTCATATTTAGCCTCAGCATCTTTTGGGTTTCAATGTTCTTGCATCTCTAGCGGTGAATTCTGGTGAACGATTATATGCATACACTATTGAGCGCTCATTCTTTGTGTCAGCCTTTCTACGACGCCTTTTGGATTGTTGTTCTAGCTACACAGGCGTTTGGGATACATCATAGATATAGAATTAGACTTTTCCATGTCCTACAATTCCCGTATCTTATGTGTGACTCCATCGGAAGTTCCCTAGGGTAAACAGCTCGCAATGGCCTGCGTTATGCTACGTGAACAGTAATCCGATCCCTTCTTGCTACACAATACGGACTGTCCTGGTAGTGTGATGGTCATTACGAGAGACTCCGTGGAATGGTATCTGTCGCATCGTCCCGTTCACTCTTTTCTCCGTTCACACTCCTCGACCGTTCACCATCTCCACTTCCTAATCAGGGCGGAGATGCCTCCATTCCGCGAAAATATGTGAATCCTGGTGTTCAGCGTAACGCTGTGAGGCACTCATTCCACGATCAGGGCCTCATTCCACGGTTTGAAGCCCTCATTCCACGATCTCCTCCCTGATTCCCTTGTATAGAGTGAACGGAGGCACTGGACTGTGAACGATGATCCAGGCTCTGATGACTGATGATTCTCAGGTATAAAAGGCCCTTCCTTCTCCCTCCAAATCTCTCCTTCGCATTCTCCCCTCCTCTCCATACTCAGCAGGGTCTCAAGCATCGATCTGACTGCTCATCAGCTCATCATACACTCTTTTGAACCATCATCATCACCTTCATCTTCATCATCTTCATCTTCATCACATTCTTTTTTGATGCTTAGATGGCTAGTGTGGCCTATCGATACTCCTTCTTTCCTTTCTAGTCTTTCCTTTTTCCTTCTGTTTCCTTCTGGTGTGACCTCGCTCTTTTGTCTATCTTCCTTCTATGGATGATGCATCCCCACCAAAGTATACTGCCTTCCTTCTACACCGCATACTGCCCCTCATGTAATCTCCACACTCTTTTTACTTGTTTCTTACGCCTAACTCACTCTCTCCACCATAGATCACACATAGTTCTGTCAAGGAGGGGTAATTTTCCTTGCTTTGGGGACCCTCCATCGCCTCACCTGATCACTTTCTTCTTTGGGGACGGAGATTCAGTCTAGCGAGCGGGGACCAAGCCCAAGAAGTCGTCTGTTCCGATGGCACGATCTTCATATGTTTCCGTTATACGTCACACCATGTCATTTCCTGTTATTATATCTCTTATTTCTATTATTTTGCATTATGATATCTCTTTTGTGGTGTCTCTCCCTTTGGTGCCACGTGGGCCTGTCCAGTTGGCCTCACTCACGTTTGGGGCGGGATGAGATCGACTAGCAAGCAACGTCCGCCTCATCTCGCAGCCTCTAAAACCCCCCGGGGAAACACCGGCTACGATGGGTTTGGCATAAGTCGGCTTCTCCGAATACCCCGACCGTCCTGGGCATTTTTTCGGCTTCGGCATGCCGGGGGAGCTTCTCTTTGCCACGGCATCTTCTCGCTCCTAACACCGAGAAACCCACAGTAAGCATAAACAAGCCCCTGGTTCCAGCCACTCAGGAAAACTAACCCCACTTTTTCAGGGCACACCATGGGGATACGAGCACCTTTTGGGTCACCGGTCTTGCCTCGGATGAAGTCCGTCGAGTAACCTGCCACTCTGTCATTCTTATTGGAAACAAGACAGGATAGCGTTGAAAAAAAAAGCTCTTCTCGGCGACGATCCAGCTCTCGATCGGCTCACTGTGCCGGCAGATCGTACCTCGGCCATCCAACCACATCCCCTCGATTATTATGCATAAAGCGCCTTGTTATGCTTATTCGACTTTGCATTTCTTGTCCTGATCCTTATCCTTATCCTAATTTTCATTAATCTTTTTTCCCCCCCACCCAACGCGCCGACCGGGCGGTTTGCATCTCCGCAGCAGTTCTGACTCGTGTCCCCCTCTTCTCCAAAAGTCGCCTCGTTCGTGGTTCTCTTACGACTCCTTATTGCATTGTCTCTCGTAACAGAATCACGCCATGATGCCTCAACAACTCTGAGACGGGCTTGCTCAACTCCGCGGAACATTCATTCTCCATCGTCCCCATGAAGGCCTAACCCCGGCGATCAGTAGCGCCGTTTGTGATTTCTATGACATACTGAAACCAAGCCCCATGGAGAAGGCCTGCACCGACATGTTTGATTACGGCAACTCGCCTGTCACAGTATATACGATGCGAGACCATTCTCAACTCCTGCCATTATTCGGTGGAGATTGCATGTACGGGACTCCTCGACCTTGATTGGCTGGCCCAGTCTTCAGCAACACCACTGGCAGCTCACCCATGTACAATCTATAGTATGCCA